ATGAGAAGCTGAATGATTATTAGCCAATTAGATAATGACAAGTAATCAGTAGGCGACATATACAGGTGGAACAAGACTCATCCTCAAGTAGATGTGGGTTGCATAGTTGCCACTAGATGGCGTAATAGTCCTGTCATGCATGGAAACGCACTGTAATACCCTTTGAATGTTTGTGGAGAACATCCATCAGTCGGCAGAATTTTTTGTCAAACAGAACCAAGTCTTTGCTTTAGACTACTTTTAATTCTTATGTCGCTGATTTGTAAACATACACAATTTGAAAAATTCCATCACAAATTAAAGTATAAAAATGCGTTTAAAATATTTAGTGTAGCCTACCCATAACAGCAGTATGTGCTGTAATGTAAACAAATAAACACTTAGCAATATATATTTGAGAAATTTTTGAAAAAGTTATGTAAACAATTTTCTTGCAGTCACTACAGGTAAGTTAGTAAGTTTCGGTATGCAGAGTTTTTTCGGTGCTTACCAGCAGTTCCTGCGGTCTGATTGAGTTATCAGTGTAGATGCACAGCTTCTCTGCAGTTAATGGACGCGTCTCTTTCAATTTAGACGCAAGAAACATGCACACTGCGCCAAGCAACTGCAAGTTGCATTTTCTTGTTGGTACCACCGCTAAAAATCGGTCCAAGTAGTTCATAGCCAGTGGAAAAACTTCTTCCTCGCATTTCTGTTCCTCGCAGACCTGGAAAGGGCAGGGCACAACTTAGTTCAAGAGGAAAAGATGCACGTGGCTCAACAAAATTAGTCTAATTTATGTAACTCACAATGACTATATATGCATTAAATAATTACGACGAGAAAACGATTTACGTAAGTATTGTCCATCAGCTGCATAGATAACAGGTTGTAAAATCGTCACGGTAACATTAGAGATTGGTTCCAAAAAAAAGTACAATGTCTGTTTTGTCGTTGTTATAAATGTATACATTTAATGGATGAAAAGGGGACTCTAACATATTTATCAATAGATTCACATTCCTTTGGTTCATTCAGTAAGAAATGAATTCAAGTCACAATCACCCGAGCCAAAAAAACACCCATGCAACACACAGTACGGGATCTGTTTTTTTAATTCGTCATATTTTCATAAAATATTTAAAAATATAAATAAATTGTCTAGGTCTAATATTCACACCTCTAAATATTCACCAATCCTTTTCACATCATTCCCGACAATTGACAAGTTATCAAATCGATGTTTTATATGATTAAAACATGATTTTTTGAACGAAGTAGCATGCGGTCTTAGATGAGTGCGTCACCATCGGACCGAATTATTTTTTTCAAAAATTTGTATAAATTCTCCTGCTTGATTCACCTGACAATTTAAAACATGAAAATAAAGCTAAGGTCCTCCCCTAACGTTTTCAACGCTCAAATATTAGAAATATGAAAGATTCTGACAAAAATCGAACTTAATTCCAAGGCTACAGACTTCGATCAGCATGGGTTAAGAAGTAGTGCGGGCCCTCGCCCCTTCCGCAACCACATATTTCAAAATTTTTTACAAAAATATAGAAAAGTAATTCCCAATATATTTAACCATTAATATATACCTTAAACGCTCATTTATTAAGTCATGCACATGTAAAGAGCTGTTATGATCATTTTGTTGCGATAAAGTTGTTGTGAAAGAAAAACCAACATGGCGATGGTGAGATGTAGCACAGCGGCGAGCATTGAAGTGCATACGTGTGCATGGAAATATTTATCCAAAAAATAAATAAATAACATTAAGCACGATTCTGTCCTCTGTGTTAACGGAACCGAAAGCTTTAAGAAATATGCGCTTATGATCACTGACATATGTCGATATCTTCCATTCCCCTGCAAATCTAATCGTCTGCTTGGTCCAAAATCGCGCTTATGACTGCAATAAAATAAACAGCCCGACAAAATCGGATCTGCCATTTCGGAAATATTAAAGAAGCTCCTTTACTTGCATTCTACAATGCTTACATGACAGAATAAAGTAGAAAACACTTTGCTAGACGTTTTGAAGATACGGTGTAAGCACGGAAATGGTCGGATATGTACAAACCTCCAACATCCAAGTTGCCACCATCCTCCGCATAAAGGGCTGAATATCTTTCTGAACGCATTTAAAATATGAACACTGGGGAAGAAACCTCTCTTCGATGGTCAACAAGCTCTGTAGTACCCTGTCATCACATAGAAGATTCGGGTCAGGAAGGGCTCTTATAATGGTATCCATCTCGAGACAAAGCAGTTCCATGATTGTTACAGTCCTTTTCGATCTCAAATATGCATACAAACAGTCAAATATAATGGTTGCGAAATGTCAAAAAGAGCAGAAAGGACTTCTCAGGCACACAAAATCAGTCTACAGGGCTGTCCAGGTTAGTCCTGCTCCGTTTGAAAACTTTTCCCCACTAGTCTCTTTCTCTGCTCTGCTCCTCTCGCTGCAACATTTGAGGTCTGCAGATGTAGGCTAAGGCTGTGTGACGCAAGCCTCACAAAGCAGATCTTATTATTGGCCAGACGCAACATGCTCGGTCTTCCTCTCCTTTTCCACCCCTCTTGCTCTGGTTATCAATAGCCCGAACAAGATGGACAAGAATTACAATATTGGCTGATATATTTATGGATCATGCAAGACTGTTCATACTTAGTCAACGCATCTAGCCTATTTGAACGACGTTGGGTAAACACAAACATAAACACACTGCACCTAACGCAACACTCAATTTATAGCCTGTTTGATACCTCAAAGTGTTTTTAAAAAGTGGTTTTGTTTTTTATGATATTATTTCATATCAAATAATATGCATATCCTTGATGATCAATAGTTGTGCCAGGCTGACATTTACTTAAATTAAACCAACAATGGTCAAAAACCTTTCTTTTTGGCTTTAAGTAGGCTACAATTAAACGCCCCCGCGACATCACAATGTCGAAACAGAGCTGTCTTACATGAAGCAGCAACGCCTGTGGTCAACGAGATAGCTTTCTAGGAAATGCAGCGAAAGCATGAAGCAACGCTCTCTCGTCAGAGATAGAAGCTGAATGAGAGTTATTCTCGAGCTGCCCCAGTGTATTATATAAAGCATTATATCGTCAATATTTAGCATCAAAAGCCAAGGCACAAATGGAGATGTGAGCGTTCCAAATTTGTGATCTGCCATGCAGGTGACAGCTTTCAACATGCATAACTCATTCAGAAAGTCATTTGAGTATAAAATGAGACAAAGCAGTTTACCATTTCGTATAATAGGGAAATCAGAATTAAATAATGTGTCTTCAAAGACCTTCTAGAGAATGTCTATAGTGAGTTATTGATCAAGGTGCATCTCGAGGTTCTCCAGCCTGTTACGGTGATTCTGAAGAACTCAACAGACCGCAGCTACTTTGCAACAGTTGCTTCGTTTCAACACTTTTAAATGTGATATGAAATGTCTCTTTAAAACATTTTTTCCTCTCTCTGTAGATTGTTTCCTCCCCTCTTCGATTTGCACAGCCAATAGTTCTTCTGCGCGCGCATGAGGCTTTCGGATTGTTACTGGGCAGACTTTGTCTGTGGAAGTTCACCTTCTAAAGTGCCAGCAAGAACCTAATCTATTTTGCTGATCACCTGATGAACGTTGCTACTTCTCAGAGTGTGCTGCACGCAGATGTCGTAAATAAATGTATACAAATGTAGCAGAGCGATAGCAATATCTGCGACCCACAGAGTGATGCTTTGAGAAACTCAAATAGCCTATATTTTAATATCCGTATCCTATAATATAAAAACGATAGAGATGATAAAATGAATAAAATGTATGCTAAAAGGGGAAAAAATGCAATCAAATTGTATAATATAAAAGTCACTATTTTCAAAGTTAGTCTGCTCATAAGTCTATATATATATATATATATATATATATATATAT